ACTCGGAATAAATCAGAGTGCTCGTTCATACATGGTACATGCATTTACCATAGAAATCTGCAGTTTCAGAGCAGCAGTCGGCAGATATTGATGTGCAGACTGTGTGGTGAACGTTTGTTCACGAGTAGAGAGAGTGCAAATGACCCACCAACCAATATACCCGAAAAAATGACTGCTACTCGGTTCAATCAGGGTTGTATCATGTGATTTTAAGGCCCTTGGTGTGCAATATTTAGGAGATGAAGAATACTCGAATACTCGAATGTTCAATCGGAGAAAATCAGAGTTCTCGTACTCGGGATCTCAGTGCCAACTTTCACCCCTACCCCGTTCCCATAGATTTACTAGCTCTCGTTATCGCACACACTCTTTTTGTTTGAACTTCAAAAGAAACTAGCTTGCTCCAATACGACCTGGCGGATAGTTGATCCCACAGAAAATTATTTATGCATTGTGTACATCATTCTCTGCCTCTCTTGCGTATCACCCACTCATTTTCACCATGAAACCTCTTTCTGGTCAATAGAATGTTGAGGTTAAGGGTGCGTTCTTATATTCTCGAGCTTCTCGGAGAAGAAGAAAAGAGAAGTCGAAGAAACTGGTATAATTCAAGAACGGGTCTCAAAGAATTCGGAGATATTTTGCACATGTCAAGCAATATGAAGCACAAAAAAGGGGCCGCGATCTTGAGTGCCACGAATGTAGTATGCACTGTGCGTATGCGAAAAGTGAAATGCGTACACTCATGATGAACACGTGGCTTTTAGCCGTAGTTCGCATGCGCTGATCCCAAACCGCGGGGATCTCCAAGTTTCAACCACCTCTGAAGATTGGAGAGCTTGGAGAGCTTTGGAGAGCCTCCTAAAAGTCGGAGAGGATATAAGAACAGCTCTCGAACTTTTCCGAGAGGATTTAAGAACGCACCCTAAGCTAGAAAGTAGAAACGTGTCGCTAAAGAGATAATTTTATGCCCCTGGCATGGCAGAAAGGGAAAGAATGTCCAATGAGACTTGTCTTGACTGAGTAACGCAGTTACAACATGCAACATGTGCCTGTTGTTGGAGGATTTGCTGGGATATCAATGAATGTGTGTGTGTGTGTGCACATGTGTGTGTGCACGTGTGTGCGTGCACGCGTGCGTGCGTGTGTGTACACGTTCATGTGTATATATGTGTGCATGTGTATATGCGTGTGCATGTGTGTGTGTGTGCGTGCGTGTGTGTGTGTGTGTTGGTATGTGTGTTGGTACATGTCTCTGTACAAACAGACTGGTGGCTTGCTCACATTTGGTTCAGGCAGCTATGGTCAGCTTGGTCATGGCGATTCACGTCATGAGAATACACCAAAATTGGTAAGCCAGGGTTTATACTTTTAAGTACACATAGTTCCATCCCTGGCTCAAGAACTGCGCTACGAGTCGTCTTCTAAAAGTTTACATGTTATCCAGTGTGTGCACCTACCCAAGCTCCACTGCTTAGGTAGTGTGTGCGTGTTAGTCTTATGTTAGTCATGGGCATACGTGACTGGTTCATGACATGCCTTGAAATCAAGTATTTCTTCCATATTTGACACATAGCACTATTTTACCAGTGGGTGTTGCTACTGCACTGGGCATGCAGAGTCCAGATACTACTACTAGTACAGTGTGGAACTAATTCCAATGTTGTGTGTGTGCTTGTGTGCGTGTGTGAGTGCATGTGTGTGTGTGTGTGTGTGTGTGTGTGTGTGTGTGTGTGTGTCTGTGTGTGTGTGTGTGTGTGCATGTGCATGTGCGTGTGTATGTCTCTTGTACATATGATCGCTGTCCAGGTGTTTGAGTTGTCTGGCAGTGAAGTAACTCAGGTCGCATGTGGCAGGTTAGATGATACAGTGCTGGCAACTGAAATCCGACCCCTTGGCCAAGGGGGTCGGATTTCAGTTGCCAGCACTGTACTTGTACTTGCCATGTGTGTACGTGTACATGTGTGTGTGTGTGTGTACGTGTGTGTGTGTGTGTGTGCGTGCGTGCGTGCGTGTGTGTGTGTGTGTGTACGTGTGTGTGTGTGTGTGCGTGCGTGCGCGCGCGTGTGTGTGTGTGTGTGTGTGTGTGTGCGCACACACGTGTGTGTGCGTGTGTGTGCATGTGTGTGTGCATGCGTGTGTGTGTGTGTGTGTGTGTGTGTGTGTGTGTGTGTGTGTGTGTGTGTGTGTGTGTGTGTGTGTGTGTAAATGAGCCGAGCCCACCCATCGGCCTGTACAGGAATGAACCTGTGTTGATGTGCGCCTCCAGTACATTACCGACCAGTGAGTTGGTGCGCATTGCCGTTCAAAACTATGCAGGCTAGCAGATCAATACGGTTGGGGATACTCCCTGAGACAGGCACTGTGTCACAGTGTTAACTACCTGTATACATACAGTCAAACCTCTTTAGGACAAACTTTGCTGTGGCACATGACAAGCATTTATTGAATCATAGCATAGCCAGCAACAGGTAAGTGCAATGTGCAATGAATTCATTACAGCATGTACACCGCCTTGTGACATGCTGTCAGTTCGTTTTGCCCGTACAAGAGGCCTCGGCTATCGAAAAAGAACAGGAATAAACTACAGCTAGCCCACGCACGTGGACCGAAAGTTACTACGAGCTGATTTTGTTCAAATCACGCTTGAAAGTAGTTTGTCTTCACGAAAGTTCGCCGTACGTGAGTTCGTCGTAAACAAATGATTTTGACTTGATTTGATGCCTGGCCAACCATAGGATTGGCCCTAGTTCGTACTAATGGAAAGTTCGCCTCATCAGTGTTCATCCTAAAGAGGTTTGACTGTAGCTATGGAATGGGGAACTTTGTACTATTTCTTCCATCATATTCTGCCTCTGTGGAGGGTACTTTGTCCGTATGCATAGGTTGTTTGTCCCAAAGACCAGAAGTGCATTTATTCAGGTTATCGCCAGCCAAACTAGCTGTTTTTGTACAGTTTTATAGACATTTCAGCTGGATAACTGACTGACTGACTGTGGTCTTTTATCACATAAAAGTGTGTGTGTGTTGTATTTAACGTGCTGTGTGCTGCTCAGGCGTCACACGCTAGCACTGGTTGCGGTGACTGGCAAGCTCTACGCTTTCGGCCAGAACGGCTGTGGTCAGCTGGGCACTGGTGACTATGCTACACAGAATCTGCCCACTCTAGTGGCTGGACAGGACTGGCGAGCATACTCAACTGACGCAGACAGTATGTTGTACATCTTTCATCTTCTTCATCAACAGTGAATGGCCACTACAGCCATTTGTGCATGGGTTGTCATGGTTACTGTTTTCGCTCTTGTTCTGTGTTGTGTCCTTGGTCAGACAGGGGCAGATCCAGAGATCTCAACAGGGGCTTCCAGTTTAGCCAAATCTGAATAGCTGATCCATACCATGTATATGCATGTAGTTTCCAGTAGCGTATTTGCGAAATTTAGGGGGTTCCGCGGACCCCCCCCCCCACGGATCCTCCCCTGGTCTGAGGACAGTAAAGTGGTGATAACACAAGTTTGCGGATAGAGCATGAGCCGCCCTAAGCATGCGCTGTCCTGTAAGTCTGAACCATACCAGCTTCTTGGACTGATTCCATTCTCAAACTAGATAGCTTGTGCTCAGCAGATTCTTTTTTCCTTTTTCCTTTTTCTTTTGTTTGTCTTGCGTCTGCCCCTTGATCATTGAGGGTGGTGGCATACCTACGAATGCGGGGAAACTCAGTCCAACTGAGTCTCACGCGAACCAGTTTATTTGTTTTGTTTGCCTTGACCGCACTGCTGTCTGTTGTTGTTGCTACTGCTGCTGCTGCTGCTGCTGTTGCTGTTGTTGCTGTTGTTGTTGTTGTTGTTGTTGTTGTTGTTGTTGTTGTTGTTGTTGTTGTTGTTGTTGTTGTTGTTGTTGTTGTTGTTGTTGTTGTTGTTGTTGTTGTTTCAAATCTTTATTCTCACGATAGCTTGTTGTTGTTGTTGTTGTTTTCAGTGGGTGCACAAGCACCAGGATCATCGACTCCTCCAAGAGCCATGATCAGCCTTATTGCTGCTGGAGGCGATCAGAGTTTCGCTGTCGTCAATACCGACTCTCCACCGCTTGACTTCAGGGTGATCATGCACCAGGACCGACTTGCCATCAACAGTGAACTCGGCTGCACTCGTCCGATTTTCCTTTCTGGGAAGCTTCTGCGACGGCTCGTTGAGTACTACCCGGATGACACAAGTACTGAACGCCTCAACCCTGTCATTCGCAAGTGAGCTGACTTGTTACTCTTGCTCTTACTCCAGTACAGTAGTATATGTTTACTCCATTGTTTTGTCATTCATACATTCGCTGAACTCCTGTACTTGTATCTATTGAACCAAGAGTACATAGTACTACATACCCCCCCCCCCCCGAGGGTGTGCAACTCGACTATGGGTGCTGCCCCGGCAGAATTTCAGGTTGATGTCATTTTTGTGATGCAATGCGCACTGTACACATATTACATGTGTCATACGTATCCTGCACCTGTGGTGGACAGATCCCCATTTGATCCTTTACAAACTCAATGAGGTCAAGGAAACATGTGTGATGCATTTAAACCCTGTACGAACGTCGTAAATCACCCGTGCGAGGAGCATTGCATCGTATGATATAAATGACGTCAACTTGAAATTCTGTGGCACAGCACTGTATTCAGGAGTTGTACGCTCTTGGGGAGCATGTACTCTGGATTGAACTTGTTGCCTTGTGGTGTGTGTTTGTCAATACCTGTATCTGAGTCTGCCTGACCTGCACTAGGTTCGTTGGCTGATGGTGTATCGCTGTCTGTTGGCACTAATGCTAATAGTGATGTGATTATGATATGTGTGTGTGTGTATGTGTGGGCGTGTACGTGTGTGTGTGTGTGTGTGTGTGTGTGTGTGTGTGTGTGTGTGTGTGTGTGTGTGCGTGTATGCGTGTGTGTGTGTGTGTGTGTGTGTGTGTGTGTGCGTGTGTGTGTGTGTTTCTTATGCTGTTGTCTATCGCAGGTTGTTTGAGCACATCTTTTCCACTCCGGCCACCATGGCAATGTGCTTTGGAAGGTCAGTTGTTCACAGTGTACTAGTACCGTAAAATCCCACCGGAGCGCCCCTACCTCCTCGACGCTTCGAGTAGATTCAGGTGGGGAGGGGCGGATGGGCGAGTCCTACTTGCCGCATTCAGAACTACATGAAAAAAGTACTCACCCTACGAAAACTGTTCATGCATCTCGTACACCGACCAAAGGTCAAGAGCCAGGAGTCGTACAGACCCGTCAAAACTCTGGGTTTGTGCGATCCCTTGGTCAAGAGGGTGGGCACTGTTGCGTACATTTCCAACGGGGTTGAGCACGCGTCTGCAGTGCAGAACGGCATCACAGAGTCATACGAGGATACAATCAATCACTTCCTTGACAAGAAGTCAGGGAGGGGCGGATGGGAGAGACGGGGCGCTCTGGCGGGATTTTACGGTAGTCGTGCGGCCATGTTCCATGCATAACCCTGTTGTTGGGATTCACTCAAGCTGTTAACATCAGTACTACTACCGTAAAGTACCGCCAGAGCGCCCCACCATCTCATCCTTTCGTGGTCGTATTGTGGAGGTGGTCTGCTGTCTGTAGGTCATACGACATGAACCTTGTACACATATTGCTCGTTTTGCAGTCAATCCGTACCTTCGAGCGGACACGTTTTGCAGTCAATCCGTACCTTCGAGCGGACACAAACTCCACACAAAACCCTGCCAAGCTTGACCTTAGTACACTAAGATTCTCACATCGTACAAACTTCGTTGCACTCTGCCATACGATTTTCCTGTCTCTGGCTGTAAAATCAAGGTGGGGCGCTCTCGCGAGACGGGGCGCTCTGGCGGTACTTTACGGTAGTAGTAGCTCTACCACTCTATTAGTATATCATAGCATTGGCCGTTTGCTGTGGTTTGGTCATTCATTTCTTGTCATGCCAGGCTGATCTCTTTCGACGTTACTGGCTATGTCCACTGTTTAGAGTTTGATTGGCACAACGTGTGGATGGTGTTCATTCTCTTGCTTGTGTTCCTTGTTGCTATGTGTGTGTTGCTGGTGTTGCTGGTGTTGATGTAGTTCACCTGGCAGTGAGAAGGTGCTGGACTATGTTGACATGCTGGATACTGTCGAGTTCATCAATGACCATGATACGCAGCTACTCACCCTGCTGGTATGTTGTATTTGTGTGTGTGTGTGTGTGTGTGTGTGTGTGTGTGTGCGTGCGTGCGTGTGTGCGTGCGTGCGTGTGTGTGTCGATGATGCTGCAACTAGTCCCAGTGAGTGAGACTTGACCCAGGGTCAGGGTGCGGTCATTTGAAGCAGAGTGGGGAGAGGTGGCAGTATACTCATCAACCCTGAGCAGTCCGGTAAAGGCTGTCATGATGGCGGCCCAGAGCATGCACTTGTCCGATTCGCAGTTGCGGGAGCGCTGGATCACGGTCAAGAGCTGTTGCAAGTCTGATTGGGTGATAGCCCGGCGCTGATATTGTGTCGGTGCTGCTTGCTGGCGGTGTTGCCCTTGCTGACACTCTGCTCCCTTCGGGGCTGCTGTAACTCTATCGTGCCGAGTTATATGTGACGGCCCACCATGGCAGAAGAGGTAATACCTCACAGCTGATAAATAGACTCTGATGGTTCCGCTAGATTTGCGACAGGATACGCAGTGGGCGATGAATGCCAGCAGGTCATCTACCGATGGCGTACTTGGCTGGCATCCCAGTTGTGCACATGGCTTTCAGATATGCCCTTGTCCTTGGCAGGTATGTGCGGGCAGAACTTGGGGCTACTGAGTTCTCAATCAGGTCACGGGCCTTGATCAGTAGCGGCTGATCAACGGATTTCAACGGATTTTTTTCGGACAACTCCAAAGAATTTTTCTCAGGAGGTGCCTTTGGGCAAGTCAATCAGACAACAATGGCGGATGTTTGAGAGTGAGCTAGCTCTTCTCTTGCAGAGATGAGCTCCTTGACGAATAATAAAAATAAAAGATTGTGTGAGAAGACAGTGGCAGAGAACAGTGCTCAGGGTGCTCGCTGGTGACTGCGGCGGTCATTCAGGATGATGATGATGCGGTGGTTTTCTTGTTGGGACCCAGCGCTGGTCAGACATTCATGTCGAAAGCGGCAGGAAGAGACGTTACTGTGCCCTGCGTTAAACTTCTTACAGACTGGGAAACGTGTATGCCCACTGGCAAGCCTGGCGGGCAGCCCTTTTGCCGTGCAAGCGGAAGCATGGTGACCTGATTTCTTGCACTTGGTGCAAGTGGTCACGGCCTGGCCCGTGAGACAGACAGTGTGAAGGTCCGGCTGGACGATGTCTAGTTGGCGCGACACATCAGTAGCCACAGCGCGTCGAACGCGAACGTCGTACTTGAGTACCGCTTGAGAGTGAAATTTGGTGCTGGCCTCCAGGATGTGATGCTGGTATATCAGCAGTTTGTTGAGGCAGTCCATGCGTTGCATGATGTCAATGATGGACAACACTGTCCACGCTTCGGCCCAGGCTACTATCAACTCGATTTTACGCTTTTCCTGCCCAGCTTGGGCCAGCACTACTGTCCCATCCGAGTCGTCTTCAAGCCTGAAATGTGTGGCTGAGGGTTCAGCGGGCTCTGCTGAGGGGCGCAGGAGGAGTGCTAAATCTACGTACTCCCCTCGCAGCACTTTCTCCACCACTCTCTCGCCCACATGTGCAACACAAGGGGAACTTACACGGGCTGTGCGAGCGTGCGGTGAATGTGCATGTACAGGTACGGCAAAGTCAAGCCTACCTGCAGAGTTCAAATCTTGAGCACTGGCGGCCTCAGCATCCGGCTCACCAGAGACGTCCCCGGAAATGGCCTGTCGGATGGAGGAGCGAATTAGCTTGCAGATCTCCTGTTGCTGCTGGAAGAAACTGAGTTCCTTTGATACACACTTGTGAATAAGACAACTTCTAGATCTACCAGCATTAACAAAAAGTACCAAACTACAGTGCTGCTCAATGAAATCCAGTCACGTCACTCAAGTGTGCGCCTTGCACCATTTCACAACCCAGTGTTTGCAGGTCTAGGGCTACGCAATGCCCGGCGTGTACTTGAGTGACACGACTGACTGGATTTCATTGATCAGTACTGTAGTATGTACTTGATGAAATAGCAGACCCTCACGGCGCATCGATGATTTCAAACAGGAGTGTCTAGTCTGCTTAGAATCTGGAAATGGCAGGACTGCAGCTGCACTGTTGCCTCCTCCCTCCCTCCCCCCCCCCCCCCCCCCCCCCCCCCGGGACTGGAGCAGGTAGCTTTGGAGCGAACCCCGCAACATTTATTTCACGTTCCAGTCACCTCGTACATTGTCTTCCTATATGCCAGGACTCTTTGCTTCTCCCATGCAATGCACTTGCATGCGCACATGTGTGTGTGTGTGTGTGTGTGTGTGTGTGTGTGTGTGTGTGTGTGTGTGTGTGTGTGTGCGCGCGCGCATGCGTGTGAAATAGGCTTCAAAGATCAAAACGTAAGGGGCACCGCTGTGCAACTGAATATACAGCTGTGCGTTGTGTTTGTCTGTATGTGCTTGTACGAATAATCTTACTCGTTACTTGCAGATGCCGCTATACATTCAGACTTTCCTACCACTGAGGCTTGTTCAGTGGCATCCGCCCACCGTAGAATCATGCCGCTTCTTCATGTTTCTCCTGGCGTTGCCTATTTATGATGAGGACGTCTTCACGCCGAACTTTATCGAGGAGTTCTTCTTGAAGTTCTGCCATTGTTTCTCACGGACGAATCTGATTCAACGCCAGGCAATGGGTAGGTGCTTGCTGTAGAGCCTGTCATAGTGGGGACAGTTCACGTGTTACAGACATGTTCACAGTGTTACACGTTTTCCGCTGAATGATAACCGTGTGGTAAAGTCACTTCCCCGTGAAGGACAGACATGCCTGGCCTTTAGGGGTTTTCCCGTATCTGACAACTTGTCCTGCACGATATGAATGTTGAGATTAGTCTGTTCATGAGAGAGGAAAAACACACACACACACGCACACGCACACACACACACACACACACACACACACACACACACACACACGGGCTGAACACACACACACATACACGCATACACATGTGCGTGCACTTTCACATACACAAGCACGGGCAATATATCGCTTAACCTGCTTTCAAGTGCATAATATAGGTTTGGTCCCATTTTAGTGCTTTCTTGACTGGACAATGACCTACTACTAGTATCTACTGTACACTGTACACTGTTTGTGTTTTCTTTAGCATCATGGTTCAATGCTGACCTGGACCACTTTAGAAAGGCAGTCGAGGTAGGTGCACTTCACCGCTGCTCTTTATGGTTTAGCCAGTGACTAGTGCAGAATGTCATCCCAGCTGACTGGCGTGTGTACCCTATCGTTTCACAAACTCAAGCATACATTATTCCTTCCTATCAGCGTGTTGTTCCTTCTAGATGAATCAGATAGCTATGCTCTGCAATCTTTTTTTCTTGTCCCTGTCATGTCGACTGCTGAGCAGCTGAATGTCTCTGTGAGAAACATCTGTCCTATCAAGACCTACACATGGGTTGTTGTTACCTGTAATTAATAGTAATTATTGTGCTATGCCTTACAGTCCATTCATCGGAAACTGTCCCGCTGGCTTTTGAAAGTCGGATTTGGGCCGAATTGAGGATCAAAAACCCACTTTAAATCTCAAAAATCTGGGTTTTGGATCTGTTTCTCCATACAGTTTGCCATGGCATACCTGTCCTAATTTTGTAAAACCTGGGTGAATTTCTTTTTCCCTGTTCTTGGACTTTTCTGGCCTCAAATGTGGCAAGGAGTGCACGGGTCACACAAAGCAGGATGTACTGTTGTTTCACGATATCTACAACTATGTGAGAGAGACACCAAAAAGTTAGGGTGCCAGTTTCCAATGAATGGTCTGTAGTCAATGCTGCACTGCCAGCACTGCTAACCTGCCAGATATTTACATATAATTATCCGTATGTACTCAATCTCCGAACAGATAGCTGTTTCGACCTTGTTAGGTCTCATCAGCGGAGCTCAGAGTGACTTTGGCCAAACTGTATGTTAATACTTCAAGTAAATGCTTGTTGTTCACTCTACTTCAGTGCGACCAGTTTGACGAGTCACTCTACAAAAAGTTGTAAGCTCCGCTGATGAGAAAGTTCGAAACCACTAGCTGTCCAGAGATTGAGTATATCCGTATGTAATGTATCTCCACTCTCATGTCTGAACAGACGGCGAGGTGACACAAGTTTAAGAATGGCAATAAACAGAATCAGCTGAATTTGTTCGTGACATCTCAATAAAGCCTTCGTAACATGACACTTCAGCATGTCTTTCATTTAGTAAAATAGGGATGGCACTACCACCAACTGAAGAAAGCTTTCCGTCGTTTGTGAGATGTTGCACTTTTATTTGATTACTGGTATGTGGTTGTGTGATTGTGCAGTATTTGATTACTGGTATGTGGTTGTGTGATTGTATGATTGTGTGATTGTGTGATTGTGCAGTTGTGTCGGAGATGTGCTCGTGAGGCTTTGGCACTTGCCTTCAGCCAAGTGGTAGGTTTAATTGGGTTGATTTAATGAACGCGCTCAATTCTTTTCAAGTGTCTTCTGCTTTGAGTCAAGCTGCTTTTCAATGAAGTGAGAAATCATGTACTGTGTTCCCTGCGCAGTCAGCAGCACCTGCTGGCCTGACACGCATCATCCCATGCTGATACGAGTATCGTAAAGTACCGTTGATCCCCCTGTGGACGGAAATTAGAGAGAGCGCGGATCAACGGTACTTAACGTACATATTAAACAGAGTGAATGTCATTAATGTATGATGTGTATTTGATGATTGTGTAATAGCTACCACAACATCCTAGCTGCTGTGGTACCTGCAGTACTTGTCACTGCTTAGTTCACATCCAAGTCGGCTAGCTTGCCAGGCATCTTTTGCCCTCAATGGTATGTGTCAGTTGTCATTTAGTCTCCAGTTACTGTTGTGTAGCGTGCACCCTTGCCGCTAAGCCCTGCATTTACCACATTGGTATAGTCAGGCATGGTGATGGCCTGGCACAAGCAAAACATGGTGATGGCCTGGCACAAGCAAAACATGGTGATGGCCTGGCACAAGCAAAACATGGTGATGGCCTGGCACAAGCAAAACATGGTGATGGCCTGGCACAAGCAAAACATGGTGATGGCCTGGCACAAGCAAAACATGGTGATGGCCTGGCACAAGCAAAACTCCCTACAAAAAGCTGGCTGTGTTCCTAAGCGGAATTGGCGGTGTGACGCGGATGTTCAAACTTTACTTTTTAGAATATTGTTGGCTGGCAAGCACTGTGAAACTTGCAACAAACGAATCACTTGGTTCGTTCTGTTCCTTTTATTATGTATATGTGTGTGTGTGTGTGTGCTTGTATGTGCGTGTGGACCATGTGCAGATTCAATTTCACCTGCTGAAGTCAGTCCTGATTCTCATGGACTTCTTGTACCAGGTCAGTACATCTACCTCTGATTACTACCTTGCTGTTTTAGAAGTACATACGCACCGACGCCCCTCTCATGTCTGGTACATGAGTCCCATTAGTGCTGTGCACATATCACTTCTGCGTCGCGATGAGCAGGAACGATTCGATTGAGAGTTTTCGTCAAAACTTTGCATCGCTGGTTGTCACAGTTCCATTGCAGGCCTCATCGCACTATGTTTAGCCAAGATCAACTTCTACGATGCATGACGGATGACGTGCATCACTTTCTACACGGTATACCCACATGACTTAGAGCTCCGGCTGGCGTACAGTTTTGAACTGTGTGGACCCTGCAGGATTTCGTTGCAATGTGCCATGCACCGTGCATTGCATTTTGTGAGAGACGCGTCTCGCAACGCGAAAGAGAGTTACAGAAAGGCTCAGACCAGGCAGTGATTGCCAGCTATTTTGGATTATAACTATGAAGAATGTTCTAGGAAAAATGTTTGCTCCCCACATCAGAGATCGCGCTTTCCGCCGACTGACTTGACACTTGACTGGCTCATGACTGCCGCCCAGAGCACACAAGAAGTGCATCGAAACTCCACTCAGCAAACCTGCAAGAAAAAAAGCACCACTTCCTGCTCAATACACATTGTCTCGGGGAATTAACCCCACATCAGTTGTGCTTGAGCAGGCTGAGGAAGATTGTGTCTGAAGAGTAGGGGTGAAACAATTATACCGAATATTCGAGTACTCGCTCGGATTTTTTTCAAAAATAATCGTACTCGGAATAAATCAGAGTGCTCGTTCATACATGCTACATGCATTTACCACAGAAATCTACAGTTTCAGAGCAGCAGTCAGTAGATATTGATGTGCAGACTGTCGAGCCTTTGTCCACGAGTAGAGAGAGAGCTCAAATGACCCACCAACCAGTATACCTGAGAAAAATGACTGCCGATCGGTTCAACCAAGGTTTTATCACGTGATTTAATGGCCCTTGGTGTGCAATTTTTAGGAGATGAAGAATATTCGAATATTCGATCGGAGAAAATCAGAGTACTCAAACTCGGGATTTCAGTGTCAACTTTCACCCCTACTGAAGAGCACCACTTATATAGTGCTCTCCAGGCCAAACCATCACCAGGGATACAAACTTACAAAGACGCTCTGTTTCCAGTGCGACAAACACCTCCTGAACACCAAATAGCAGCATGAGTCAGTGTCGCTCATGGAAAATGTGATGTAGAACGTATCAGCTGTCAAGAGTTACGGAACTAGGCCAAACACGATATGGGGACGGAGATTTTTGAAATACAATTCTCTTTCTCTGGCATCTTTATTTTATTTTGTTTGTGGGGCCGTCCGTAATTACATGTATTAATTTAGAGATGTCTAGCAGGCGTTTCTGGTGGGTGGGTTCGCCTGCAAGGTGTTTCTAAAAAATACATACGGAGTGCATGCATACCATACCACACGTGTACATTGTACATGTACATGATGTAGCACTGCTGCAGTTAGTACAGGTAGTACAGGTAGTACAGGTAGTACAGGTAGGCGTTGAGACGCACACAGTCTACACTGCACTGCACGGGTCAAGGCAGAGTGGCCAGGGAGACAGGGAGACTGTTCGCTATAGGGTCAATTTTGTATGGGTTCAAACAGGGACATGGACAAGGGTTCGCTATATCACGAAATTCGATATGCGAGTTTGTTATAAGTGGAGTCGTCTGTACTGTATGTGTGCATAGTATAGTGGTTATTTGTGAGTGGTATTATCTGCATTTTCGGGGGGCGTTTCTGGGGATGGGTGGGTCAAGAAAGAAACACCTCTTAGACGTCTCTAAGTAAATACATGTATTTACGGACGGCCTCTAAGTTTCATTCGTTAACCACACAGTGTTATGGCTTATTCATGGTGAAATTGCTGTTTCTGCTGCTGCTACTACTGCTGCTGTCGTTGTCCTTGTTGTCCTTGTGACAACCAGGTCAATGTCCTCTGGTTTGAAAGTCTGCCCGTTGAAGCGTTCTACATTGGCGAGCTGACGAAGAGAGTGCATCTTGAGAATCATTACGTTGATTGGGAAAGCAAGGTGAGTGATGGCGGCAATGTTCGCGTTATCAGTGTTCGTCCTCAAGAGGTTTGACTGTAATTATATTGTCACTGCTGGTTCTTCAGTGTTGTTGGACTTGGAATATTTCAGTAGCGTTGTGTATTAATTTGAGGCGTGTCCCCTGGTTTTGTTGTTTGTGAAGATGTCTTTTATGATACTACATGTACATCGTACACGGTACATCAGTGGAACAATTTACGGCTAGTTTGTTTCAATTCTCAACTTCATACTCAGTGCAATCGTCAGGTTGACTGTGTACTACCCTCTGCCTTCACGCCATTCCACCTCTCTTAGTAAACTGGGCACATCCTACTGTGATGCCACATCTTATAAGTACGAGTATGCTTGTGTATAAATACAAGCAAGAGTACATAACCAAGAGTGTGCAACTCCTATCTCGAGCTGTGATGGGTTCACCCAAGGCGGAATTTTTTCATTGCGTCATTCTTTGGCAAAAATAAGATCAAGTGCATATGCTTTCCCACGTTTGTTTTGTAGATACGGTGAGAGTTCATCAGATTCAAGACACATCGATTTGTCGTCCATTGTTCTGTTTTGACTACCGTAGCTGTGATGTACAAATTCTTTGTACTTTGATCTCTGGCTACGCATGATGGCATCAGTGAGCCAAACAGCAGCCAAAGACTGAAGTCATAAAAAATTCCGCAGTGGGCTGGGGGATCGTCGAGTTGCACACTCTTGGTTGTATACTCTTGGTACAAGTGTCCTTGTGTATAAGTACAAGTATGCATGTGAGTTTGACAGTGTGGTCTTTGTAGTTTGTTGGATGTGCTGCGAGGATACAGCAATTAGCTAAATTGTTGTCTTTGTTTTTGTTGCTGCTATTGTTAATGCCATTTTGCTGCTGGTGGAGGCGGCGGCTGCCGTTGGTGTTGCTGCTGGTGTTGCTGCTGGTGTGGCTGCTGGTGTGGCTGCTGGTGTGGCTGCTGGTGTGGCTGATGTTGCCCCTATCATCATATGTGTGTGTGTGTGTATGCGTGCGTGTGTGTGTGTGTGTGTGTATGTGTGTATTGCTGGTGCTGTTGCTGTTTTGCCATCACCTATGCATGGATGTGTATGTACAGCACGACTCATTTCCAATCTGCTTCATGAGCTTCCCGTGTGTGCTGGATGTCGATGCCAAGTCTAAAATTCTTGAACTTGACAACAACAACTTTAGGAAGGTATGCAACAGTTTATACTGTGTGAATGGGGGGGGGGAGGAAGCCATGGGATTCTTGGCCTCAGTATAGGTTCAATTAAAGGGGAAGTATACCCTAAAATCAAATTTTCACCAGTTGTAGTCTTCGGGGTGCTGAGTCGAATGGTCTTGGTCCGAGGAAGCTGAGACGCTCCCTTCCTACTTGAATCCCAATCGAACTCGCGCACTTCCA